TGCCCATCTTTCAAGTCAGTTACTAAAAATCTGGAGAAGTTTAATTATTCTCATGGCTGTCTCATGAAGGCCTGGAAAAACACATCTCTCAGTGCAAGCACAAACTAACAAGGATTAGATTAAGGGATAGTGTCACTGCAGCCTAAGTACCTTCACTGACAACAGAAATTTCATACTGCAAGAAATGTCAAGCTAGCATACAAGAATCAGAGGTTGGTAACTGAAACTGGCAAATTCAGACAAAAAAAAAGCTAATGTATTTTCACTGAGGAAGAATCGATCACTGGAACAATTTATCAAGCTCAGAAGATAGTTGGGGGGTTTTTGTTGGGTTTGTTTGTTTTTTTACACTGGGTTCTCCCTCTGCTCCTCAAACAATTTTTATTCCAAAGAGGTGTGTTTCTATTAAGTCAAATAAATAATTTGGAGTCATAGGGACTTTCAGAAAGCTGGCTGATGCGATGGACTACTGGAAGCATGTTCAGAAAACAGACACTAACTAAGATCACAAAGTATGCATATATTACAGGTCTGGCCTTCATATTTGGGGCTAGAAGCGTGGTACTTCTCCACATTCATTTCTCTAAAATTCGTTAACTTACATACACAGTCTTCTTATGTCCACCTTCCTTGATTCTGTAAACGTTTCACTAAAGTTAGAGTCCTTTATAATATGTGTACGAAAACTAGAAAGGCTAAGGTTATTGCCTCATTGCAACTTTCCAAGATGACAGCATGCAAGAGGCAAAAATTTGTTGCCTGTCTAGCACTTGAATCCAGCAAGATCATAAACAGGATCATTTATCAGGCAGCAAGCTAGAAATACTATTCACATACCATGCCAGGACATTGAAAGTGCATGGCCCTGTACAGACAAACACGAGTTCTAGCAGCTGTTTATTTCAATACCTTTGTTATATTTTAAGAATTAATTACCTTTCCTAATGAGAAGAATATGTCTCCAGTCATCTAAGTGCTGCTATGACACTGAAGTCAGTGGAACCTTCATAAAGTCAGCACATGTGACACATCAAGTCTAAAATTAAAATGACTTACTATCCAGAAAAAAAGCAAGCCTTTTATGACAGATTTTGTGTGTTCTGAAATGACTATAACTGCACTGAACTGGGTGATGAAAGAAATTAGCTAAGTTCCACAGTGAACAGTGATTAATAACAAAACACCAAAATGTGTAGCCCAAAAAAGGTTCCACTTGATAATGCTGTTAGCAGTAGTAAAAGTGAGGTGTGTAGATGCAATTTCTCATCAACACTAACTTAAGAATTGCTAGCATAGCACTGTAAAACACACATCTTTAGATGACATTACACTGCTACTACCCTAAATTATTGCCAGTGGGTTCAGGATAAAGCAAAATGCACAACCAGACACAGCAGCTATCCACCTGTAAATACGTAAGTTGTCTAGGGAAACAAAGATAAAATTTATGTGAGGGGCAACAATAAAACAAAAATTATTTTTAACTTTTAGGTCATCTCAACCTTTTTGTTACATCTCTGAACACAAGAGAACTCCAATCTGATTTAGAGCACAAATTCAGTGACAGATTGCTTCTTCTTTATGAGGAAACAATGTCTGCAGTCAATGTACTTTTCTGCGTATGCAGCTGTGACTCTGGCCCTTTCAGAAAGATGGAATGGCACTTTACACCAGCAAATATGCATTTTTAAAGCATTTTTCTACCTGCTCTGAATTTTGATTTCAGAAAGTTGGCAGCTCTCCAAAATTTTAAGACAATAAAAACCATGCATGGTAAATCATTAAGAATAATGTAAAATACTAGTTCATTACAAAAAAAGTTAATAGCTTTCAGCAAAAATTTATAGCCAAAGTTCTGTATATGCACGTCATAACCCACTTGCACTGAGAATGCTGACAAGCACTCCTCAAAACCCCCTCTTCCCTGCCTTCGCACTCAATTCAGCTTGAGCTTAGGTTATTGGACAGTATATTAATATGCATAGGAAACAGACAACTGTATGCCAGACAAGAGATAATAAAGCCACTGGGAATGCTCAGTTCTAGTCCACAGTGAGACCAACTTGCAGACTACTTCTGCCTCTGCTACAGCTGGTCCTAACTTCATAATAAAAAGTGCAGATCATTCCATATGTGAATTTAAAAGTCACATAACTTTTTTCACACATCCTGAAAAAAAACCCAGCATATTTGTTTTGGTATTTATCCACCACTGGAATACTAGTTTAAAAAAAAAAATAAAACAAACCAGTGGTACTTACACAGCTTATGGAAACAATTAAGAATCCCAAAATTCAGTGATACATGAGGCAGTTTTCTACCAACTTACTAGGGTAAAAGGAACATTTCACACTTTCTGTAGGAATAGAGGTAATCCCTTCTCTATTTTCCAAGGTTAATCTGCTTACAGAAAGTGGAGAATCCCAGCATTAAAACTACAGAGGCTTCCCCAGATGAAATCAGAAAGCCTATGGGGTGGGTTGACCTTGGCAGGCTGCCAGGTACCCACCAAGCTGCTCTCCCACTCCCCCTCCTCAGTAGGATGGGGAGAAAATGAGATTAAAAACTTGTGCGTTGAGATAAAGGCAGTTTAATAAAGAAAAGCAAAGGCCATACATGAAAGCAAAGGAAAACAAAAAGATTTATTCTCTACTTCCCATCAGCAGGCTATGTCCAGCCACTTCCCAGGAAGTAGGGCTTCAGTATGTGTAGCAGCTGCTTCAGAAGACAAACACCTTAATAATGAATGCCCCCTCCGCCCAGCTCCTTTCTCTTGGGTTTTATTGCTGAGCACAGCATTATATGGTATGAATTATCCCTTTGGTCAGTTTGGGTCAGCTGTCCTGGCTATGTCCCCTCCCAAAGTCTTGCCCACCCCCACCTTACTGGCCTTTGAAGGGATGAGAGTGCACTGGAGAGACAGCATGCTCAGTAGTAACCATAACACTGGTGTGTTATCAACACCGTTCTAGCTGCAAATACAAAGCACAGCACTATGATGGCTGCTATGGGGAAAGCCAACTCCATCCAGACAAACCAAATACAACATAACCAGACAAAACCCCTAAAACTGCAAGACATTACTTTCTCCCATTCCTTTTCAGGAACTGTTCATGATATTACATTATCACAAGAAGCAGTATTATAAAAGTAATTCTATTGTCCAGAATTAACATTGGTCTAAACCAAATTTATTTATTACCCTGTAATACTGTTTTTAAAATGTCCCAAGAGAGATGACAATAGCAAACTACTTGATAACATACTGGTGCTTTTTGATTCTCCACTGATGATTTCCATATGTAATACTTTTGCAGAGTTGACAGCATAATATATGAACACCATAATAGGAGGTTACTGTTGGTGAGTTATTGTATACATTCTTTTATTTCTCTCAGAAATCAAGTTTCAATGGCACTTGATAGAATGCAACTACAAAAATTGTTATGTAGCAAGTCACTGAATAAAGACAGGCCTTTCTGTACGCTAGAAACCAAAAGTCAGATCTCAAAATCACAGGGCCTTGACCTACTAGATATTCAAAATTAAGTCAAACAATCTGACATCTCTCTTCATTAAAGTTAACTGGAAGCAAAATGAAAAACAAAAAACTTATTGGCTAAGCGTAAGTCTGCTGCTTATTTTCAGTTCTCTATTACTTTAAACCATTCTAAATGATCAAATTTCACCTTCCTTGTCTCTT